ATGCATTCCACACAAGAGAACCAAAACAAGATTCAATACAGAAAAGCTCACATGGCAATTTCAATTTGTGAATCTTTCTCTATAGACAAATCTATGTAAGAATAGAAAACTACCTGTTCCTCGACCTTCAAATGCTTTGAGAACAACTTCACTGCTGGACAATGCTTAGTCAATGAATGCAAACCCCTACAGACATAAAACAGGATTAATCTAAGCACCTCTTTATTCAAATAAGCAATAACAAATATACAATGATACCTTAGAAGTTCCAAAGATCTCAGAGCAGAGGAACTAATAACAAGAACAGATGGGTTTCCAGGTTCAACATTCCGTTCAAGGGTCTCTCCTTCACAAAGAGTCTCTCTCCATGAAGACCCACAAGAAAGCTTTATATGCTCTCCCAAGTTGCTTACATCTTGATCCAATCTTTGAGATAACTCAACTATACACGTATCTGCAATCAATCAAGAAAAATCTACAATCTATCAGAACTTGGGAAATTTTGTGCATTGACAAGTCGAATCAATAATCAAAGCTCGCATTTTTGGGATCTCTAAACCCATAAGATAATCTTAAACAGAAGCTTATAGAGACCGATCTAGAATAAAACAAAGGACGAACCTTTAATGGGTTCGAGCTCTAAAGAAGAAACCTTGATACCAATGGCGGATTCAAGCTGATTCAAGAAGTAGCTAAGCTGCTCAGAGGCCGATACCGGTTCCGAATACAGTTGCTCGTCATCTTCGTTCTCGGTTTTCTGGTCGTTTCTTATACTCTTCTCAATGGTCTTATCAAAGGTGGGAGCTTTCGACTTCTTAGTCTTTTTAGACTTCTTCTTCAGATCTTTCTTCGGACCATGTGATGGTCTTCGATTTCTTTTAGGGTTTTTAACGGCGGAGGGTTTTACCTCTGTGGTTGCCATGTTTTTTCAGAGTATACAGACAATGGAGAAAAAGAGCGGCGTTATAAATAAAGTAATAAGAGTCGCAAATTTAGGTTTAGCGATGTTTGTTTCCTTTTGTTTTTTTTAAATCGCTTAACGGTTCTTTTATACCGGCCAAAATTCCAATAACCAAACCAAATTGGTTTTTTATAATCGTTATTTATACCGGCCAAATTTCCAATATCCAAACCAAATTGGTTAGTAGAGTAAGAAAAATATGCCATGTATGTACAATGAGATTTGCCCAACAAAAAAAAAAAAGTATGTATAATGAGAAAACTACCAACGGAATTATTTTACACTTATTACAAATCGAATAGTGAAATATTAATTTTGGCTTTTTTCCACCAAACTGATTCACCAAGAGAAAAAAAGATTTGTGTTTATATCATAAGGATTTAGGGAAAGAGCGTTGGTTTGAGATAACTCTCTAAATTAGTACTATCCAGTATCCAGAACGACGACATATGAGACATATTTATACTCAAATATTGATTATACTAGCTAAACTGGATACATTTATATTTTAATCTGAATTATTATTTTTGTTTACATTTTTCAAGATTTTTTATGTATACATGTTTAGTTACAACTCCTTAAGATATAAAAATAATATTTTATTTATAGTTATTTTAAAATAAACTATATCGATATGTTAAAATAATAATATGAAATACAAACTTTTAATGCAAGAACAATTGACAATAAAATAAAAACAAAAACATATGGAGTATATGTATACTGTTAGGTAGATTAACTCCATTTGTGTCCATCATCTCGAAAGTACTATAAGCGCAAAATCATCTATTAAAGAAGTTCATGATTTTTATATTCCGTACCAATTGATATTGAAGAGTTCATGTGCATTACATTATGTTTAAAAAGGCACAATACCTTTAAAAAAAAATGAAGTTCAGGCTAACAAATATATATATATATATATATATATATATATGTGCATACATTTATTATTGAAATATAGACCATATAACCCCATCAGTCGCTAAATTTCTTTTAAGGGATCAACATCTTGTACCGCATAGCATTTTCATATTAATGTTAAAAGCAGTTAAACGTTACATCTGTATATTATTAAGTCCTTATTAAATTTAGATGTGCATAAATACATCTATGGTTAAAATTTTCCTACCAAATTGTTTTTCATTGGAGTATATCATTTAGCTTTTTGGATGAGCTTTTTGTTTTTTTAAATTGCTTTTGTACAAATAGAGTGCAATACTTGAATAGCATGTCTTGTCTTTTTCTTTTTCAATCGTTCAATTGTTTTGGGTTAGATGTTTGTTCTGATTGCATCCACCACTCACCATTTGGGAATAAGTGCTATATAAACTTTTCACCTCATCGCAAATTATCAATTTTTTTATATCAAATTATCATTTCAGTATACCTAGGTCACTTGAAGAGTCCCAAAATTTTGTACGAATTTTGACGGCTGCAGAATCCCATTCGAGGCATCATGAGGTAATCTCTCTTATTCTTTTCAACGTCATATTTTTTTCCGACGATCATAGCTGGATCCTAAAATTGATTTGAAGTTCCATATAAAATTTCAAGATTGACTTGAAGTTCGTAATAGTAAGCAGATTCAACAACCCCAATAACATTCAAGCAGCTTACTCTTTCATCAAGTTGGCAAAACTTCTTTCCCAAGAACGTTCTATGAAGAATTTGTTCGCGCAGTTTAAGCAAGATAAACAAGATCCTAAAATTGACTTGAAGAGTTTCATATTAAGGTGTTCAAGAAGCTTACTCTATCAGCAGGTTGGCGAAACTTCCGCCCCAGAAACGTTCCCTAAAGAATCTATTAGCGCACTGCTTTCCTTCCCATAAATCCAAAGCACCGGTGACTATTCCAAGGATAAAAACAACCGGATGCTTTGCTCTGAGACTCATTCTCCTCAACTTGAAGCCTGGAGTCTCAGGCAAAGCATCCTTTGTTGTTGCAGCATAGTAAGTGTAGCTCAATGTACCCAGCAACCACAACGTACAGAGAAATACAATGTACAAGCAACATGAATGGAAGGAAGATCTCATTGCTCGTGTCTTAGATTCTTGGCGACTGCGTTTCTTCATCTGAGTGCAATTCGGTTTCCCCTTCCGAGACATGACAAACCCTAGATCTTAATAATTTTTTTTTTTTTGTTCGTGGAATAATATTTGACCACCTTTTAACTTTTATGCAATTTTTTAACCAAAAAAATTAACATAAGGGGTTATTATCAATTTGGGACTTTGTTCGGCTCAGACTTTCAATTTGAGAATTTATTACCAAGCCTTTCAATTTGGGTATTTATGGGCTAAGGAAAAAGACATTTTTATCCATGTCCGTAATTCGTTTCTTCTCCGACGAGACCACTCGATTTCCGACAACAATCATCACTCGTAGTGCTCCGTTGAATCCATCACCGTCATCACTTTCAACGCCATCAACACCATCTCCTTCTTCTCCTCCAATTTCTTCCGTCACTAACACCGATCTCCTCCGATGAACTCATTCAATTGATTTTGTTTTGAATAAAAGAAGCTAAACCCTAAGGGAATCATGTCTAGTAAACCCAAGAGCTCTCATCATAGAGACTGATCGAATCAAAACTTCCAATTTATTATCAAATATAAACCAAAACTGAAAAATCCAAAACACAAAACCTCTCCGCTACCAACACCACTCCAATCCAGTTAGTTCAAATTGATTGCGTTTTGAATAAAAGAATTTAAACCCTAAGAGGATTGTATCTAATTCACCCAAGGGCTCCAATTGAAAACATCAACCGAATCAAAATTTTCAATTCTATCTTTAAATCTAAACAAAATTGGGCATCAGATCTTATCATCTCATCACCGTCACCACCATCTCGTTCACCATCATTCTCATCGGATCTCAACATCTTCACCACCATCTCCTTTACCGGATTTCATCATCACCACCATCTCTTTTCGTCATATCGTCCACAGAAAAGAAAAAAAAAAATACAGTATATATACAGTATATATACTGTATTTTTTTTTTTCTTCAGCTATTGGTAAGGTAATAACGTCATTTCATCATACTGTGAAATGCTTAAAACCACAAAGTTCTATAAACGCACCTAAATTGATAATTATTGCTGGAATAAATGCCAATCCCATAATTGATTCATTAACATAAACGGGATTTAAAAAAAATTAAAAAGCTGAGATTCGAACTTTCAACCACTTAATTTTAACGATATTTGTTACCACTGAACCACGAACTTATTACATGCCAATACTAGTCTAACCCTTTATATACTTCAATTGAGTTTGTAGGATTTAATAAAGCGCAAAACAATAAAATAAAAATTGAATAAACCAAAGATTCAAACCTGTGAACTCTTTGCATACTTAATCTAGCCATTACTACTGCACCATAGACATCTTCGTTCTTCGATACGAGGTTGTCTAACTTCTTATTAATAAATCGTCGGATTTAATAAACGACGTCGTTCCAGTTGGGGAAATCATCAAATCTAAGGATTTTTTTTTTTGGATTTAATAAAGCGCAAAACAGAAATTAGAATAGATGTTAATCGAGTTTTATTATAATACAAAATAGAATTAAAACATTGGAGTTTCGAAATAGTTCTAACATAAATCACGATTTTCGTAAGTTCATATATATAGTAGTGTGACTAATAAATTTTGCTAAATCGCAAACATATCAAATTATGTAAAAAAATATTGGAAAAATTTAGAAATAAAGGATCTTTAAAATTAGATTTGTCTATCTATATTTTTTTATTATTAAATTGTCACTTAGGATAAAATTACCCTTAAAAATAGATATACCAAATTTTAGAAAGTTTTATAAAGAAAAAATCAGAAGAACATATTGACAATGACAAGTAATGATGAAAAAGAGTTCAAGAAGAAAATTTGTGATTTCGTCAAACCTTAGTAGTTTTTGAGATAGTTGAAATTTATTCTAAAATGTTTAGAAAACGTGTTATAACTTTTGTTTAAATTCTAAAAAATGTAGATAATATATTCTACACATTATACATGTTCTACGCATTTTAGAATTGACATATGTTCTAAAAATTTTAGTATTTTTGAAGGTAATCAGTCAGTGTCTGCTCAAAACAGGTTGTTAATTGAGAACCTGCTGCTTGCGACGGAACTAGTTAAGGATTACCACAAGAACTCAATATCGAGCCGTTGTGCAATCAACATAAACATTTCAAAAGCATTTGACTCGGTTCAATGGTTCTTTCTTAGAAATGTTCTCGCAACCATGGAGTTTCCATCGGCCTTTGTACATTGGACTATGCTTTGCGTTACAACGGCCTCATTCTCGGTCCAAGTTAATGGGGAATTGGCTGGTTATTTCAATAGTTCTCGGGGGTTGAGTTAGGGATGTTCTCTATCTCCTTATCTCTTTGTGGTTGGTATGAATGTGCTCTCAAAACTGTTAGATAAGGCGGCAGGACTGCGTAAGTTTGGTTACCACCCAAGATGTAAGAACATAGGCTTAACTCATCGTAGTTTTGCGGATGACCTTATGGTTCTATCTGACGGAAAAATAAGGTCTGAAGGTATTGTGGAGGTTTTTGCTTAATGTTCGGGTCTGAAAATCAGTATGGAAAAATCCACAGTCTATCTTGCGGGAATGTCACACACATCTCACCAAGAGATAGTCGATCAATTTCCTTTTACAATGGTCAATCTTTCGGTGAGGTATTTGGGACTGCCTCTAGTCACCAAAAGACTATCATTTACAGATTATCTCCTACTCATTGAACAAATAATGAAGAAACTAGGATCTTGATCGTCGCGGTTCTTATCTTATGCTGGGAGATTAAACTCAATTAGTTCGGTTCTTTGGAGTATATGTAAATTCTGGATGGGAGCTTTTCGTCTTCCTCGAGAATGCATAAGGGATATTGATAAGTTGTGTTCTGCGTTCTTATGGTCAGGAGGGGAACTAAAAACAACCAAAGCAAAAAAAGCGTGGGAGAACATTTGTAAACCGAAACAAGAGGGGGGTCTTGGCTTACGATCTCTTAAAGAAGCCAATGATGTATGTTGTTTGAAACTGATATGGCGCATTGCCTCTCATGGAGACTCACTGTGGCTTAAATGGGTAAAAACGTTTCTGCTTAAACAAGTGTCTTTCTGGGCGGTTAAGGAAACCACATGCCTTGGATCATGGATGTTGAAAAAAATGCTCCAATACTGGGATGCCGCGAAGCTTCTTTGTAAGGTTGAAATAAAAAACGGTGATCGGACCTCGTTTTGGTGTGATATGAGCCGGCTATAGACATTGCAGATGATCGTGGAGTAATTGATATGGGATAAGTAAATACGCAACAGTTTCGGAAGCCTCAACAAATCGTAGAAGGAGAAGGCATTGTGTGGACTCGATAAACCTGATGGAAGAGATGCTGACATTGGAATGGAACAATCGAAAACATGAAGACGACCGTGTCCTTTAGAAAGGAAAAAAAAATGTGTGTTTCGGACAACTTTCTCTACCAAAGATACTTGGAATCACATACGCACAACTTCGAACAAGGTTGCATTTGAACTTATGGAACTAGGTCTTAAAATTAGCAAAATTGAATATTTGATATTTGAACTTTCCTTTGAACTTATGGAACGATGGCTGTTGCATTTCGCAAATCAATATTTGAACTTATGGAACGATGGTTGTTGCATTCACGAATAATAGAAGTTTTTATGATATAAGCTTAAGTCATATTATATTGGACACGAAACTAACAGTGCCAACCATAAAATTATACTAGTACATGTATATATTATATATATATATAATATGTATTTGTTACATATTTAAGACGAAGAGAATATGATGCCGTAAACTTCAAAGTGCATAAACTCTTATTAATGTTGGTTCAGGTGGCCGCAAACATGGACATGTAGTTTTGATTATTATTTTTAATTGTAATTTTCATTATTAATATTGTAATTGAGGGGATATTAGGTTTTCAATAATTATAAACCTTAGTTCACCAATCAAGACTAAATAAAGTATAGATGGAACAAATCACAATAAAAGTACCCTTTATTTCCAATTTCCCCAAAAATATTTATTCAAACGCAATCATAGTTGTTTTAATTTAAGTAAACAATCACCATATTCACATATCTTGGAACATGTTGGTCTATTTGGCTTTTGATTTCTTATTCTTTAGGTAACAACAACACTAAATCAAACAAACGGATAAGTTAAGAAAATAGAGAACTCTAAAACACACATATTCATCAAATATAAAGAGTTATGCATACAACAACACCATCATGGTTGTGGAAGAGGATTAAGCTAATGATGGAATCATTCCCATCATCCTCGCGTAAGCAAAAATCCCACCAGCATCAATAACCGGTCCAGCATCACCGATCGACTTCAGCTTATAGTTTTTCCCGGTTGTGTGATTAGTTAATAAACCACCACTATCACTCAGCTCGATCGTCACAGTGTCTCCTGTCTTACACTCCTCACAGACTCTAACCTCTGACTCGAGCGGAAACACCTCTCCTGTAGCCACTGAGTTACGGAAAAAGATCCTTGCGTAGGATTCAGCAACTATGGCTTTAGCTCCAGCTGCTCCTAGGCAGACTGGAGCGTGTTCACGTGACGATCCACAACCAAAGTTTTCTCCACCGATTATGATTGAGTACTTTGATCTGTTCTCTCCTGGCTCAACGAACCGTGTTTTGTGGAAGTCTGGGAGACCAGAGAGAGCGTGAGCAGCGATCTCATCACGTTCTTGCTGGTTTGATGGGAAGGTGCAAGCGGCTCCTGCTGGGATGATCTGGTCGGTGTCTATGTTGTCTTTCAAGACATAGCAGAGACCGTGGAAGGTAGTGTTGGCTAAGGCTTCGTTAGAGTCGGATTCTGCGGCTGCAGCACGTGGGATGATGGTCGCGGAGGATGTGCCACGTGAAGTGAGGGAGATAGAGGAGGGGATGAAGGAAGTGGAACCACTGAATATTAGGAAAGGAGATCTGAAGGTAGCCGAGGAAGAAGTTTTGGTCAACGAAGAAGGTAAGGCTTGCGGCAATGTAGGAAGAGAAGACGCCATTGTTTCTTTACTCTCTTGAGTTAGTGTGAAATGTTTACGATGAAAACAATATAAAAGGAGAAAATGTTTATACCCTTCTATTTACGAAAGTGCCATTTAGAATTCCAAACGTGCGTTTTGATACTCTTGGGTAGGTTACGGTGAAACAAAGGCTCTAGAAACGGATGCCTAAAAAGAAGATTTTATATTTCTCTATACTTTATGACAAAAGTGTGTTAGAACATTGCCATGTGTGACAAAAACAGAGCTCTTGTTATGTTCTTATGACCGGAAGATTAAATTAGTGGAAGAAATGAGAGAAAACGTCGTTTCAAATAAACTATGCATGCATTTTTAGCAGCTGAAACATCCAAATGTAGACAAGCAAAACCGAAACTGAAGACTAAGCCAATCATCAATAGTCATATATATTCATAAAACATAGAGTAGGTTCATAAGCTTTTTGGAAACATTACATATTCTTATTGTTCTTTTTATTGGATCAAGATCCTTCAAGAGACTCTCATGCACTTGCATTGACACCTGCAAAACAAAATAAAAGAAACAAGAATGATGTTTTGTTCTACTATTGGACAATCAAGTTTAATGGATATGAGCATGAAAAAGATCAGCCAACAACATAACTTTCACACAAGTTCAATACACCCTCCTAACAACTACAACCTAGACATGTTCAAATTTTTCGTATCTAATTGAACAAATGGAAAGATAAAAGAACTGGTAACCTAAGTCTTAAGTAAAGAGAAAGAATAAACTTTGAAACACTTGATAACCAGTCATTATCAATCTCACACTAAATCCACACTTTTTAAACAAGACGGAACTAGATTCCCTACTACTGTGTTCTCTTACTCTAATCAGAACCATTGAGAACAAGAAGAGGAAAAAACTCTGTTTTGCATCATTCAATTCAATGTCAAGCTTCCTATATTACTCCACAAATTCGATCTCATTCCAAATCTATAAGCAATCCTCATCCTCACTAAGTTACAAAATCATACCTAAAAGGTAAAATCAAGCAGCAGCAGATGGAATCATTCCAGCTTTCCTAGCATAAGCAAATATACCACCAGCATCAATAACTGGTCCAGCATCACCAATCGGCTTAAGCTTATACTCTTTCCCCGTCGTATGATTGATCAGAATACTATCACCTTCCCTCAACTCAACCGTCGCAACATCACCAGTTTTACACTCATCACAAACCCTAACCTCCGAATCCAACGGATAAACCTCACCTGTAGCCACAGAGTTCCTGAAAAAGATTCTAGCATAAGATTGAGCCACCACTGCTTTAGCTCCGGCTGCTCCTAAACAAACCGGAGCATGTTCACGTGACGATCCACATCCGAAGTTTTCGCCGCCGATGATGATTGAGTACTTCGTCTTCATCTCTCCTGGCTGGACGAATCGTTCCTTGTAAGAAGCTGGAAGACCAACTAGAGCGTAGGAACCGAGTTTCTCGTATTCTTCTGGATTCGAAGGGACGAGAGTGAGAAACTCTGCGGGAATGATTTGGTCAGTGTCGATGTTGTCACCGACGACATAGCAGAGTCCATGGAAGGTTTTTCTCTCTTGTGGCTCGGCGGCGGAGCGTGTGACGAACGATGAGGATGCTTCTCGTGAAACGAGGGGTTTGAAATTGGAAGCGACGGAGGTGGAATTGAATCTGAGAAATGGAGATCGGAAGGTGGCGAAGGAGGGAGATTTGTTCGGAGAAGCTAGGGTTCGTGACAATGTAGGGTTTGCTGATTGCAGAGAAGCCGCCATTGTTTTTCTTTGCTGAGGTCAAGATAGAAGCGAGTCAACGAAACCGCGATTATAAATAGGACTCTGTTCTTATTTACCAAAATGCCACTCTCCTTCGTTATTTCAGTGAAATCATTTTCATTTTTTTTGTAACAGTAATTTTTTTATATGTCAGTTTATGCTACAGTAATTTAGGATTTATTGGAGTGGTTGAAATGTAAAACACCATTATATTGATTTATGTATGTAAATAATAAATTCTAAAATTAAAGGGTCAAAAAGAGAGTAAATCAAAACTCTGAGATTCTATGACATTGTTTCAATATATGTCCCTGTGGTTCCTTTTTGTTTTTTTATAAAGGTTAAGTTCTTCAAGAAGTAGCTTTTTGCCTCATCCATTTAGTAGCAGACCATTTTTCTCCAGACAGAACTTCACATCCTCCATGTATGCTCCTTGGATCTGACTGTCCGTCGAGTCCCTGAATAACACAAGAAGTAAATGAACTCAAAGTAGTCCCAATGATTCATGTTTGAGTATAGAGAGATTGAAGAAACAAACCATGCTCCAGAAGAGAACTGCGTCTCCTTTGGTGGGTTTAACAGAGATGCCTTTCATGATTTTGCCACCACAGGTGCAATCACCATCACCAGCCTGCATTTCAAATAGAGAGGAAGAGAGATATTACACCATTGGTTTATTTTATCTTTTTTGAAGATTTGCATGAACTCAGAGAATATATTATACCAAAGGGAAATAAGTTTCTCCTCCTTCGACGTCATCAGTTAGATACATAAGCATAGTTGCTACGCGCTGACCACCACGCTTCAGATTGAACTGTTTGGAAAACATAAGAAAAGAAACGAGGAAAATGATGAACACACAAGATAAACATAGTTTCCAGACTAAATGTTCTAAGATGATGAAAAAGGAGAAGATTAAGTACAGATCCAACTCAACATTATTGACCAAACCAAAAGTTAAACACTGTAGCCCACTCTTTTTACATTTTTTGATCAGAGCTAGAGCTTCCTCCACCAATCCACTAATGATACAAATATGAAAACAGAACCGAAGACTTACAGTGTCAGCAAAGTAATCGTGATGTGGTTTGTAAAACTGCTTCGGCTCATATCTGCACTGCAGCAGATTTTGATTCATCAAATCAAGAAAAAGGCTTTGTTTGCTTTCATTTTTAAAAATAGTAAGGTTGTAGTTGTGCACGCACCTTAGAACTTGAATAAGTTCTCCATTTTCCGCTGGTACTTGAGAGAAGACTGCAATTCGCTTTTCAATTGCCTAATAATAGCAAAAGAAAAGGAATAAAATTTACAAAAATGTTAAGTTGATCAAGTGGCACACCTTTAAAAGTTATTAGAGAGTGACCTACCTGTATTATTGGATTACTTCTTTCTACATGAGTTAGAAACATTCCAGAGCTTGTCCTCACATCACTTTTAACTCCCTAAGCAAAAAGAAAATTATCAGATAATAAGAAAATATGGAAGGGAATATAGATGACTTTGAAGGCATGAGAGCATTTCTATTCGTGTCCAATGTTTGATTGAAACAATATAACAATCTAAGGCAGAGAGTGGAGGTAATAGAAATTTTACTTATTCTACAGAACTAAAAGGAAGGTATTGTCCAGTACCTTTCCGGTTTTTACATCAACAACAGTGGAAACTTGAAGGCGAGGCCGGGCGATTGCTTTTAGATATTCACATTCCTGCAAATATACAAATCAGGAGAAACAAAAAAAATATTTAGTGGCAAGACAAAAAAACTCCCAAAAGCTCTTTTGCTAATTCTTATGATAATGCCTAGAACTGAGCCTAAGATTTTGCTTTTCTTTCAAATCTTAGCTTATCCTTGCTCGAATAAAGATGATATGAACAAGTTTTATCTCTACTTTAAGGCCTAACATCAGCAAGAACAGACTATTCTACAATCAGCTAACTCATTGCTACAAAGCTAACTCAATGAACTCGAATTTATTAATGGGGCGTGTATATACCTCCGGACTTAGAAAGTCATGAAGCACAATAATTCGAGGGGACCAACTGACTACTTCAGGCTTGACCTGCACTAAAGAAAACAAACATTAGGTGGAAGCACACAAAACGGACCTCGATTTTACAGAAGCAAAACAAAAACGATACATGTGAATGTAAATTCTCTTATTTTCACAAAGGGATAGTATATTTACGCAATGTGCCAGTACAAACTATTTGAAAGTTTTTCTTTCTTCTCATTCTACCATTTCTTTTAACTGTAGAGATATACAAATGAAATTTTGGGCGACCATTGGCCCTGAGAAAGAACAACAATTGGAAAATGGATACGATAGACTTACATTGCCAATCCGTAACAATTCTGCATCTTTGTCATTTGCCCACCGGGAAACATCTGAAAATAAACGAGTGTTGACATTATCGATTCTACAAATGAAAAACTCTCCAGGAAGAGTCTTGTCGTAAAGCCAAAAGTCAAATAGTAAGAATGAAACTATAATGTTAACCTATACGCAAGCATAATTTCGACTAGAAAGGATCACACCAACCTCGTAGATAGCGGGTGTTCTGGCCTCGAAGCCCTCTTAGAGACGGAAATCCAGGTCCTGAATAAGAAGGAGAAAGAATATAGAAATCAAAAGGAAACCACAACAACAAAACAAGCAATAGAAAATCCAAAAGGGATCTTCTCTACTGTAGTAAGCATAATAAACAATAATCAAAGACCCTGATCTATTCTTACAAATTCATTGACATTGTAATGAAATGTCCTCTTAATCCCTAACACAAGAGCTCACATTACTATATTTGTGCAATTCTATCACCAAACACACATCTAGAGATATAAATGAAGAAAATAAGAAAGAAAGAGGAGTTACCGTACGAATCTTCCAATCTATTTATAAAGGCCAATTGTAACAAGGAAGCTGCAGATTCCAGGAAAAAAAAGAAAAGAGAAACACAATCTCCATGAGTTTACCAAAGAGCCGTTTCAATTTCTCATAGAGTCAATTTGGCCGAGAGAAAACATAAAAATATAAACTTTGAAGACCAAATTAAAAATCCAATGTAGGCGACTATAAATAGAGAGAGGGTACCGATGACCATTCCGACAGTGACAAATGTCAAGAGACCGAAGACGATCTTCATGGCAGGAGCCATGTCTAGCTGATCTCGATCTCCGACAAAAAGAAAAATTAAAAAGAAAAACTTGGGAGAGATAGAGAGAGATGAGTAACAGTTGTTGTTGTTGCAGAAGGAAGAAAAAGAGAGGAGCTTGAGAGAGATTTTGGTGGAGAAAAACGTCAGAGGAGTTTCTTTGAGAGATCTTCTCTTCTCTTTACAAAGTAAATAAAGGCCTTTTCTTTCCTCCTTCCCTTCTTTTTATTTATTTATTATTATTTTCTTTCTTTTTCTTATTTTTGAATATCCATTTTATTTTAGTCATGGACTCTTTTTACTTGATTTTTTGGAAAAATATTCATCTTGTCAAAGTAAATTAAGGTATTATAGAAACCAAACAGATATAAAAAAAATTGTTTTAAAGTAGCTCAAAAAGAACTTAAAAAGAAAGAATTAAAAAAAAAAAATTGTAAATTTCATGTAGTTTTATCTTTATTAACAAGGTGTTTCTCCCAACTGTTCAACTGTTCTAGACAAGTCAAAATACATCGTGGGGATCTGAAATCTGCTCAAAATACTTTTGAAGTATTTTTTCGTATCAACATACGTAAATCGACATATTGATCTACTATATATCTTTTAATTAATTGAGCAAAAGAATTGGCACCCAAACAAAAAGAAAAAAAAGTAACGCATCAAAACAACAACAAAGAAACAAAAAAGCTGTCGTAAAAAAATCAGCAAACTTAACATTTAAAGAATTATTAAATTAATAATCGAAAATATCCCATAATGTCGACCGTCCGATATATCCCATAAGATTTTAACTGCAACTCTTTGTCTCTTCTTCTTCTTCTTCACCTTCTCTCCGATTTGCTCCGTCGATTGCGTCATGTCGTCGTTTGATCCGCCGAATCACCGATACTCTTCCCTAGTATTGATTCTTCTTCTGCTTGGTTTCTCGGTAGCGGCGGCCGAGGATGTATCATCGTGGACCGAGGATTCCAGCCTCGAGTCTCCTGGCTGTACCAATAAGTTTCAAATGGTAATTCAATTTCTTGTGTTTACTTCGTATTCAATCATCCTCTGGTTCAGTGGAGTTGATTCATCTAGTTCTCTCTCTCTTGTTAATGAGATTCTAAATTTGGTTGAAATGCTCTTCATATAGGTAAAGGTCTTAAATTGGGTTGATGGGGTTGAAGGAGACTATCTTACTGGCCTAACTGCTCAATTTGGAGCAGCCTTGCCTTCTGATGCTGATCAAAGTCTTCGATTTCCTGCTGCTTTTGTAGATCCTTTGGACTCTTGTTCCAATCTCTCTTCCAGGGTCAGTTTCTCTTTTCTTCCTTTTATAATGAAGTCAATGGCTTCCTCAGATTCATGTAATTTGCAAGATGAGTTTTTTTTTTGACATTATTTGTTCCAGTTAGATGGACGTATTGCCTTGTCGATCCGTGGCAATTGTGCTTTCACAGAGAAGGCAAAACATGCTGAGGCAGCTGGTGCTTCTGCTCTCTTGGTTATTAATGACAAAGAAGGTTTGGTTTGTTCAATACCGTTTTGGATTGATATTTTTTCGTGTTTCTTAGCTTTGGATCATCTAATTTAGTCATCATCTGTTGTTATCAGATCTTGATGAGATGGGATGTATGGAAAAGGACACATCTCTAAATGTGAGCATACCTGTCTTAATGATCTCCAAGTCAAGCGGGGATGCTCTCAACAAGTCTATGGTAGACAATAAGAGTGGTGAGCCGTTGTAATTTTGCACTTGAGTTTTTCTCTTGTTGGTCCTCTATCTCTAACAATATGAACCATCTGGTGTTCGTATAAATCTCTTCTAGGCTAAGTCCAGTTTCTTTATGATGCAGTTGAGCTTTTGTTGTATGCTCCAAAGCGTCCTGTTGTGGACCTCACAGCTGGATTGTTATTGCTCATGGCTGTGGGAACTGTTGTCGTTGCATCACTGTGGTCAGAGCTTACAGATCCTGACCAAGCTAATGAATCTTACAGCATATTAGCAAAGGTTAACATCTTTCAAGTCTCTGTTTGGTGTACTCCATTTGTAGCTATACCAGAAAATTGAGGTTAAGCACTTTTGCGTGCTATGGTATGGTATCTACAAATAACTGCCTTTAATATCCTATACACTTAGTGTATATTTCCAAGATACTTAGCATAGCAGCCTCTTTGTTATTCTGGGGACTTGGTGATCAAATCTCCAGTTTATGTAGCTGTTATGATGCTGAATTACGGATATGTCTTTTCAAAGAAAGTAGGTTGAATTAAACTTCATTTTTTCCAGGAATTTCCTAGTGCTGGGACCAGAAAAGATGACCCAGAGAAGGAAATCCTTGATATAAGTGTCACTGGTGCTGTATTTTTTATTGTAACAGCCTCCATATTTCTGCTACTCCTTTTCTACTTCATGTCATCATGGTTTGTATGGGTGCTCACCATATTTTTCTGCATTGGCGGCATGCAGGTAATTTCATTAACATCCGGCGGTTTTGAACCTGTGTAGAATTTAGATTAAATGTATATGTGCTTTTTCCGTCAATTTAATGGCTGTTGTTTTCAGGGTATGCATAACATCATTATGGCAGTTATATTGAGGTATTCTGAAATATTCCTGATTATTTCACTTCTCTCTTTTTCCGCTCAACATCTCTTAACTAATATATGTTTGATCCGCCTGCAGAAAATGCAGACATCTGGGTCGGAAATCTGTGAAGCTCCCTTTGCTTGGAACAATGTCAGTGTTGTCGCTTTTGGTGAATATTGTTTGTTTGGCGTTTGCTGTTTTCTGGTTTATAGAACGGCACACATCGTATTCTTGGGTTGGCCAAGACATTTTGGTAACTCCCGTAGCTCTCTTTTCTTCATCTCAATGCATCTAGAAGTCATTTCCTCTCATTATTTCTCTTATCACCGCTTCTGCTTTCTTTGTTAACTGAGTTTCATATTCCCCCCTTTCCATAAAGGAAGAGGTCACGTCCAGAAGTTTTGGTTCCTTGGCTGCACTAAGTGAAATATTTGCTGTCATCTTGTTGACAGGGCATATGTTTGATGATCACTGCCTTGCAAGTGGTTCGATTACCTAACATCAAGGTAGTTTATCTAGTTTGTTTTGTAGTGAATTATGATTGTTTTCTGTTATATGCTGATAGTGGTCTGTAATCCAGGTTGCTTCTGTACTTCTTTGTTGCGCGTTTGTCTATGACATTTTCTGGGTCTTCATATCACCATTGATATTTCACGAGAGTGTTATGATTGTGGTGAGTTTCTCTTACAAAGTCCATAATTTATCATTTCTTTAGCTACACTCAATTTATCCAGGTTAAGCTTAGAATTGTGCTAGTTATGTGATTTCAGTTTCGTTTCTGCAATTCTGACAAAAAAATGTGCTTCATATGTCTGATATATTAAGGATTGGAAGGTTTGTTTTGTGGCACATAAATTCGTTATGGTCCATCACATTACATCATTACAAAAGTTGTAGGGCTGTAGTATCTTTGTCGTTTTGTCCACAGCTTACACAAGTATCTTTATAACTCAATAACTTATCAATTAGTAGTTGATTTGTGATAATTGAGTAATTCAAGAGCCCAGATAAGCTCAACTAGTACATTCTTATTTGAGATCCCTTCTTTGTAGGTTGCCCAAGGAGACAGCAGCAGCGGAGAGTCCATTCCGATGCTACTAAGGATTCCTCGGTTCTTTGATCCTTGGGGTGGTTATGACATGATTGGTTTTGGGGACATCCTCTTTCCCGGTTTGCTCATTTCCTTTGCTTCCAGGTACTTTTAGTCAGTGATATTCTTAGAGCTTCAAAGAACAAACTTGGAATTCCATCTTTGCCCATGTTTTCTCCAGAATGTCTTAAATCTCTCAACCCATACATCATTGATTCTTTCTCAACGATTCTCTCATCCAATCCTCCCATACGATTAATACTTGCTCTACTCGTTGATCTCAGATATGACAAGATAAAAAAGAGGGTAATATCAAATGGGTACTTCCTCTGGTTGACTATCGGCTATGGAATAGGTAAGTGTCCACGCATTACTAACTCTGTGAACATAAATGGCCTTACATGGCTTATACAACTGAGTGAATGATCTCAACTCTATTATTTTTTCCGAGAAGAAAGTAACATAACTTGACTTGCTAATCGAGATGGCTTCTCACATTCACAGACTCACAGTCTTGAAACTTAACAGAAACATTAATGTTTCTTCCTGTTCTGTTTTGTAGGTCTGTTACTGACATATGTAGGTCTGTATCTTATGGACGGACATGGCCAGCCTGCGCTATTATACGTCGTACCCTGCACACTCGGTAAAACCAGAAGCTTAAGTTTCCTTTCCTCCATCTGTTTTCGAACACTCCTCTCCATCGTTCTCAAACAAAACCTAATGTTTTTTCTCTCTAGGTTTGGCCGTCATACTGGGGTTGGTAAGAGGAGAGCTTAAAGAACTATGGAATCACGGTAGTGAAGAATCAGAGTCTCACACAACGGAGGATCCAATGCCTGTGGCATAATGACATGATTCAACAATCTAATGATGTGTTATCAATCAAACCAGTAGCTTTTCCCCAAAACATCGAGCATAGCTTAAGCAGATTTCATATTTGAAAGATACACAAAAGCTGATGTAAGTTCTCTGCAAAGCCAAAGTTAATCGGATGCCAAAAGACATATCGGAAAGTGTAATATATCGTATTTTTTTCTTGTTTTGGGGGAGAAGAAAGAAAGGTTTTGTAGTAAGACTCGTGACATGTTTGTACAGAGTCTATAATAACCTTCTCTTGAATTGACTCACATTAACCATCAATTTGTAGTATTTCAAGTATTATGATGCAAATTCCCTTTTGTTAATTCTTTGCCTTTTTTTGGATAAAAATAAGTCTCTGAAAATTCCATAAAACTTTAAAGTTTGTCCCATATTATTCCACTGTGGAATGAAATTCTGTCGAAAACGAATGCACGAATCAATAGTTGATGTGAAATATGTGGAATTGACCAACCTGTCTATTTACGTACACGTGTATAATAATTGCCAAAGTAGGACAATCGTATGAAATATAAGTATGACCAACTGCATAAATAAAGACGTGTAGATAATCCTTCCAACGGAAATTGTGATTAGCAAGAAAACATGTAATCAGAGTTTTGTAATTTCTGTTAATAATGTTGTTGTGAGGCTGTGAGCTACCATTTGAATTCAATCCGACATAAATCATTAAGAGTTTGAGTTACAAAAAAAAAGGAGTTACATATTTTTCCTACAAAAGCCTTTAACCTACCTATATTATGTCAAGTATTTTTAAGACTTATCCAAAGTAACTCGTGTTTAAAAACAAATCATTTCATTAAAAGATTCATAATTCCATAAATATATTTAGAATTTTACTAGCTATATATATCATATATTTTCTCAAAAACATTAACAACCATATATGTATGTATAAGCTATATATAAATACAAAAGGTATATTTTATGATAGTTCTAATTTCACTATACTTTATCTTAAATTATAACTGAATTTATAATCCATCCATAGAAACGTCATTCATGAATTACAATCAAGAGGAACCAAACCCATAGCTTAAAAGAAAAGAAAAAGGACAGAAGTAGCTCTAGTGCATAGCTCCAACGGCAAGTTCCCAAGCCCTAATGTTTAAACCGGCCATAGCATATGATAAATAATAAATCCCCATTTATCAAAATTCAAGAAAAGAAAAAGAAAAAAAATCTTTCGTTACTTCGAGACATACATATCCACACATTTCATATATGTATCCTATCTTACACGTATGTATATATATATATATATATGTATATATACACGTATCTATGTGTTATGATTACCCCAATCCAATACTATGTATCATGTATGTGTTGTATGATCTCTATATACATCAATCACTGATGATGAATTGATGATGATGATGATTAAATGATGATCATTTCTGAGATAAACCATCAACGAGGCACTGCATGACCTTGACCTGCATACTAAGGCACTTGATGTAATGAGCCGTCTCTTCCATCAGCTTTGACGTTTCCATTCCTCCGCCTCCCGGAACAAGATTCCTCAGCCTCTCCGCCGCCTCCTCCACCACCGGAGCTCTCTGGTTACTCCTCCTCCGTTTTGATGATATCTTCCATGTCACCTTCCTCTTCCTCCTTGAAAATCTTACGCTCTTGTTGTCATCTTTGGCGGCTCGGCGCAAGAGGGCTCTGCTCCATAGCCGGCTATTCCCTCCGGCTGCTCTGGCCATGGAAACGTACGCAGCCTTCTTGATCTTTCTCACACGATCTATTGATTTGTCCGGAGAATTTAAAGGGTTTTGTGTTCTGAGATTTGAGAGGGATCGGAGAAAGTGGAGGGCAAAAACGTCCTTTTCAGGGACATCTGTGTTTATGAGTTTGTCTGCAGAGGCCATGGTTTGGGTTGTTTAGAGAAGAGAACTTGAATTGAGAACCTTTATAAAACTTTTTTTTTGAGAATGACAATAGTATTAGGGTTAATATAAACGGAGAGGTGGAGAGAGAGAAAGAGAGAGGAATAAATAATGTTTATTTTTCCTTGTACTTAACTTTTCTTTTACATTACAAATATGTTTTTTTTATGTCACAAGACATACAACTATATCAAATGTTCTCTATAAAGTTTAAAACTGTAGGTTCGAATATATATACTCATGTTCTAGTTATCGGTAGAATTGAAAAAAAATAAACATGAAAAAGGAAAGAAAATTAGATGTGCTAATAGCTTTGAAATATGGAATTTTGGAGCTTAGTTGGTCCGTCAAAGTTTATTGCATTAAAATATGCGAATATGAAGTTGTAAGTGGTAGTTTTCTTCAACGGTGACAAAAGATACATACAGTTCTAAGTTTAACTTTGGGGGTTTAATAATATCAGTTCAAAATTTTGGAGATTCGTCTGTTGTGGTTTAGTGGGCTGACTGTTAGATTGTTTACTGGTGGATAATTAGATGTGTAAATATATCATTATATGTGTTAAAATTTTAAAATGAAATGTTAATTGTATTTTGCAAAACCCATGTATTTCGGATAAGTATAATATACACCTAGTGTTGCTATATAGTCTTGAATAAATAAATGGGCAATTAGTGGAAAACGATGTTTTGGAACTTGAAGGAAAAAGTTGATGCCAATAGATTAACAGAACTTGGCTATTTTGGATATAAATATATTTGACTATTTTGAAATTTGAAATATGTTTATATATACATTATACTACACCCAAACTACAATTATATATTTATATATATAGCATTAGTGCTAGTATACATCTTAACTAAACAAAATAATAATTCGGATGATGTTTAATTACTAGACGCAAATTAATCAAGCTCTTTTGGTTCATAGCTTGGTATAAACGGAAAAAAGAGCAATTAAGAGCAGACATCCGATTATGGAATTAGATTCCAACCACAATATTATGTTTATTTGTTTGTTTTTATAAAAAGGTTAATTTAGTGACGAATGCGTATGAATTCATTAACGTGAACAGCTAACAGAGACTATTATGATAAAATTAGGTAAGCTATATACATATATGTTAACATTAGTTGACAACTAATGACGATTAAGATGGAATGATCGATTGTGGAAAACATCTAAGCTCATTTTCAATGCAAAAGAAATTATATTAACAAAACCCGAAATATTAATTTAATTGATTACTTACAGCTTGCTGGATATTTACTTATAGAAACAAAATTCAGCCAAAATCTAACTCTCGTAAAACGACTGATTGAGGATATTATTCGATCCTGAGTTTGAACTATACGTTGATTAGTTCGAAAAGTAACACAGAATAACTATGATTATTCTGGACGATAAATTGTTAATAAACTTAATCAATTAGCCACTCGCATCATCAAGATAAAACTAAGAAGTGATCAAAGATATAACAAAATATTCAACAAAATATTCACCATGCAACTATGCAAGAGAGAGAGAGAAAAAAAAAAAAAAAAAACTATGCAAGAGAGCAACATATAGTATAAAAATATGTATATTTTTCGAAGGATATGAGATTATTCAATTGGCTTGACCAATAGATGATACCATGATTTTTTATACACTAAATTTTACTACCTAATTTAGCAAAGACAACAGAAGAAGAAAAGAAAAAAGAGGAGAAGAGAGACTTGAGGAATAAGATTTGTGTTTGGTTAAGGCTATAATTTAGCATTAGTCCCATCTCTTTTGTGTTAATCACTCTCTCCCCTACCGCTTTGCCGCCGGACGTATTTTTTACGCCATTAAATTCTTTTGTATATCATCATGCATCATTATCATATTTCTTCTTCAAGATTGAGCTCTAAAATCCCTTAAATCTCACTGTTTTGTTTCCTATAAGGTTTCATTGTTACACGTATCATAAAAATATGTTTCTAGTTGAACAATTTCGGGGAATAACAATTTACAAAATTGTTGATATTAGGAGTGAAACCAAATGAATAAGAAGGTGTTAATCATATAATAAAAGAACTAAAAAAGAGTTGAAGAAGATGTAGAGTAGGTCCACTAATGGGCCAACCACCACATGAAGGCACATGGCTATGGCCTTTACCCACCTCCACTTTCCTTTCTCTCTTATCTTTATCTTTAATTTTTTTGTTCTAATTATTTAATTAATATTAACTACACCATTCGTTTTCTTTGATTCTCTTCTTAAATTTATTAATTAGTCGTTGGGGGCAAATAAACTTTATCACACTAGTTGATTAAAAATATCCCCAACTAAAAAAGTAAACAAATATAAAAGAACAAATGCTATTAGTAATAGGCTAATAGCCAAATCAATAGTGACGAATGTTAAACTGAAGAGAGGAATTCTAAAATCGTCTGAAGTTGAAAATCGGAAACGTGTGAAAAGCCACGTCAGCACTGACGCCTCATTTTTTTTTATTTTTTTTTTGTGTTAAAGAAGAAAAAAGAGTGTTGGGTGTGTTGTTTTTATTACGTTAGGTTAAAATGAAGACGGCTGATTAAGAGCACTTGCAATGCCAGCTCTTGCAAGCGTCCCAGGCTATTGTTTTTTAAAAAATAAATCAAAACCCCTTATTAACTATAGAACCGTTCCCACAAACGGAAACGTTTCTTCACCGTCCCGCACTGCCACGTGGCGTTTTCTGATTGGGTGGTGTTTTTTTGTGGGGAGAAATTTTTTTGGGGTAGAAACATTTTCGATTCGTCTTCTCTCTCTCTCTCTCGACTCTCTCAACTCGCGAAGGCGATTTCTCCGGCGAAAATTATCGCCAACGATTTTCCGGCAATATCACACTGCAATCCTCCTCGTCTCTGCCATAGAAAGCTTCTCCAATCGATCTTTTCTTCCATAGAAAGCTTCTCCGCCGGTTCCAAACGAGCGATACAAGGTATGTTTGTTTTTCCGATATGAGATCTGGGGGAATTCGTGTGATTATCCATGGTTTTTGTTGGTATAGAGGATGTATATGAATTTGTATGGTCAATGGTTGTGTTTTTTATTGTATGGTTGGCCAAAGAAAATCGATTAGGGTTTAGTTTTGGATATTCGATTTTCAGATCTGTGTGTTGTCTCCAAGTTTCTGATTTAGGTTTTATGGATTTGGGATTGTCTCCAAGTTTCGATTTAGTAATATGAAACTGTTTGAGTGTTTTCTTGGCTTTGATTATGCTTTGGATTCGTTTTGGTTTGTCACCAAGTTTTCAATTTAGACAATCTTCTTTAAAGTTCTAGCTGAAGTATGTTTTTAATCTGTTTGTCTGTCTTTGGTTGTAACTTGTACATGATATGATTATTTTGGTGTTGGTGCTTTTTTGTGTTTGGTTTAGTATTATCTAGTTACAGAAACTGATCTAGTTAATAGGATTGTGTGACTCACCATTAAATGCTTTGTTTGTTGTTGATCTGGTGTGATGTATAATTGATAAGTTCTAAAACTCTGCTAAACCATTACTCTTGTAATCGGATTGTTATAACACTGTTCTAAAACTCTACTTGAATGCTTTGTACTTGTGTAAGGTGTCTTAAATTGTGATTAGACTTAGGTAGTTCAAAGATAGGTCATTATGAATGGTAATTTATTACTTGATACCTTTTCATCTTTTAAACACCAACTAGCCTTCACTCTTTCTCCATCATCTTCTATCTCTCTTCTTTGGTAAACAAATAACCTTTCTTTGGAGAACACCAAACCAGTCAGGAAGGATAGGAAGAAATGGAGCTCTCAACAATCCCAGGTTGCACCGCTTTCTCAAGAGACACCTGTCAGGAAGGATAGGAAGAAATGGAATTCGGCTGACGATGAAGTTCTTATCAGTGCGTGGCTGAACACTTCAAAGGACCCGATTATTGGAAACCAACAAACGGCAGAAAGCTTTTGGCAAAGGGTCGGAGAATACTATGCAGAGTCTCCTCATGCTATAGCCAATGGTGAACATGGGCTGAACATAAACTGTAAGCAAAGGTGGTTCAAGATCAATGACTTCACTAACAAGTTCTGCGGGGCATATGCAACTGCAGAGAGACTAAACAGTAGTGGACATTCTGAGACCGATGTGCTGAATATGGCTCATGACATCTACGTCTCTGACCACAAGACCAAGTTTACAATGAACCATTGCTGGTGTTTGTTAAGGTTTGAACAGAAATTCCTGGACCTTAACAAGATTAACAATCTTACACCTAAAGGCAGAACAAAGAGGAGACCAGTTGAGGAAGCTTCACAATCCGAGGAGAAGCTACAGAAGCTTGGCATACTAGACACACTTCTTGCCAAGCCAGAGCCACTTAGTGCAGTTGATCAAGTTATCAAGGATAAGATAGTGGCTCAGTATTTCTTAGATTGATGTATTCACTTAAGATGCAACTTTGTATTTTTTATTTTAGTATCTAAGTTTGAATTTCTGCTTTAATTTGTTATGTATTCATCTATGTCTGTTCTTGTTTCATCAACTCGGCTTTTTCAAGTTTTTGTAACTTTGTAATTTTCTTATGTTTTCAATGTTAATGTTATATGTTTTATTTTAATTACAACTTTAATATGTTTTTACTTATTAATTTAAATGATTAATATTTTAAATTTAAAATATTATTATTTTATTCAACGGACAAAATATGAGAGACATCATTGCTAATACCAAATTTAAGAAACTTTAAAAATAATCTTATTATATTTGAGGGACCAAAAAATTTGTCCCACACCATTGCTCATGGTCTAAGCTTGACGTTACAACTGTCGGCGACTAACTTTGCTCCGTAACTGTTGACGTGGCTCCGTTTTACTTTCTCCGGTGGATAACATGACGGCGCTCATTTTCTTTCATTTTTAATTTAAACCTCAAAGATAAATTATGCGATCGACGAAGACGAGTCACGAAGCAAGCTATGCATATATATATATATATATATATATATATATATATATATATATATATATATATATTATGCTTGAATTATTAATATGTTACGTACTATTTGGAAAATGTTGGATGGTCATGAAAATGTAAGTTCTTTGATAAGATCTTTCTATAAACTCGTTGTAAATATACGACTAT